AGTCTCCGATAGTCCGATGCACGCCGACGCGTTTTCGACCCGATGCCTCTCACAAGAATCATGGCGATGCATAATCAGTAGTCCTATCTCAATTGATGTTATCTCGTAACATATTCGCGATTTCTACCTGCAGTATTTTGGATTGTACGGGGACATTTCGAATAAGCGCACTTCGTACCTTTTTCGTGTCGTCGTCAATTCGATGTCCATGGTGACAACACCGTCAACCCTGGCCTATTTGAAAATATTGCTTGTATTGAGTAATTAAATGAGCCATTTATATCGGAAACTCGTCTCAACTTCGTCCCCTTCAAGCATTAGCTCCGCATCGAGAGTTCGTTTACTTTGTCCAAGTTTAATCGGTCGTTTTACCACTCGTTCTCCTCGATTTCAAATTGGAGCTACGATCGGGCTACATAACCTTTAGGATATTCTGGTCCGCTCAACGTACGCTTTTCGCATGTTAACGGCGTAGATACGCCCCTGCCTGTTTTCCGCAGGCCATCAGAACAGAGTAGTCTCGTGTCCATTTTTTTTCTACCTACTTCTCCGCCCTATCCATTGTACGGATAATTTTTTGTGCATTCGGAGCCAACACGAGCACTCCGGTCGCCCGCGCGAATTCTTCTGTGTTACACTCGTCGTCGTACCAAGTTTTCTCTTTTCCTGCTCGTGAACAAAGCTTTCGTGTGAATTCGCGAACTTTTTTTTGTAGTGCTATTTATTAGCTAAACACATTATTCGACGACAGAATTTTCTTCCTCATCATCCTCGGCCCGTAATTTTGTTCGTATATAAAGGTTATGTGGTGTTCTGAGATTCCTCCCATAAACTAATTCAGCTGGTGAAACCGGGCTCTGTGCACCGTGGTTTCTTCAACGCAAATAGAATCGCCTGGCCACTTGATTCCTCCCACTGCCGATCCCCTGCTTCTAAAAACATAACACTTTAATTAATCTACTTCATACGTCCTATTGCACGCGTTCGATAGAATTAGATTGCGGGTGTAGGCGAACTTCTTACTAGTTGATCTCCCAAAACTTCCTAGCAAATTGCCCCTGTAGAGTGCTTGTAAAGGAGTGCCCTGGTCCGTTTGTATTCCTTAGGGAATCCAATGCGAACGAATAATTTAACAACGCACTGATGATAGTTGGTCGATTGTAAGGTCTGTAATGAATAGCCTCGGATACCTGGACGCTAAACAAACGGCCGTCAAACAGGAATTGTGTTGCCCTCTCGACTTTCAGGGAAGGTCCAACGTATCGATATTGATTTTGCCAAAGACTGTCCGTTATCGGTGCGGTACTAAAACTAACGGTCCTTTTTGCGATTCATTTGGCCTGCCTACTCTTTGGCACACATCGCAGATTTTACATATGTCTTCCATATCTGGAACAACGAGGCCATAAAATATATCGCTGACTATACTGGCTTTTGCTTTTAGTGCACCTAAGTGAGCATTCGCGGTTTCATGGCACACTTTCAGAATGGCGCCCCGTACTTTATAGTGGGAAACCAGCTAACATATTTAAAATTTCACCAGCGCTTGCTGTGTCTGGACCGATACAATAACTGTTATTTAACGAAGATAGCGCATCTCGCCCTGTTTCTGGTTCCAGTGCTCATACGTTGTCATACAATATTAATGCTCCCTGTCATTTTGTTGTGACGCGGCAAACTCGTTCTGGCTAACATTTTAAGTTTCGTTCACTGGGGATTCAGTAACCTGCACTTTCATCCTTTCACTAATACTTCCTGCGGAAGTTCGCCTGCTCTGTCACTTCTAACTGTTTCACAAAGAAGGTCTCCTGCCGCTTGAGCCTGCCATCCTCCCCTCAAGCTCAACTGCGCGTTCAGCGGCTTTTGACCGTGTAAGTTACCGCTGCAACTAATTGTGCTCAATAAATCTGCCTTTACTTCTTCCAATAACGCGGCCGTTCGATACTTAATAAGTAATATCCTCCGTCACACGCGAGGTACGACAGCAGCTCTCCGTAACGACCTTTCGAACGGTCTTCTAATCTCGACTGGTCTGCTACCGGGGAGATTGGTGCTGCAGAGCATCCAGTGCTGCAAAATCCACACGCTTTCTCCCGTCCAAATCTCCGTCGCTGATGAATTTCTCGTTTACGATATACAATACGACGCGCCTGAGTCCCTCAAAAATTTCGCCGGTATACCGTTAATTTTCCCTTCACTCAACGTGCGGTAAAGCATTCTCCAGCCGTTTGTCCGCCACTGATTCATTCTTTCCGCCTTGCGGCGCTGCGGGCACTCTCGCATCATGTGATCGACCGACCCACAACCTGTAACATGTTCCGCTTGTCGGCTTCTCATAAGCGGCCCTGACATATATATATATATATATATATATATATATATATATCGTCATTAGCAGCGATGGATTCTAATTCATTATGTGGCTGTTTTAAACGTTTTTCACATTTGTGAATCACGGGAGCACGGCCTATATATAGTATGTAAAGTTTGCCACCAGCGCGCTAAAATTATTCTTGAACTCGTGCTTTCTGAGGTCTTAACGTGTGATTTATAGTGCGTAAGGTCGAGACATCGTTATATACTGGATGGGCCACTGATGTTAACCACAATATATATCTTCGAGCTGTTTTGAGGAATCGGGATGCGGTTTGGGTCAAGTTATTGTAGACGATGAGGGAAACACCATATTTCATTTCTTAGGTTGAACATTTTTTAATTTTTCGAGATATTCTAAAATTCGCGATCGCGAATAAGGAATGCAAACAAACGTTTCTAAAAACAGTGGTTTTAGGAGGTCTAGAGGTGCGACCAAAATAATATAATATTCTATAATATTCTATAATATTATAGATAATAATTATAAATCGCGAATAAAAAGAATGTTAAAATATTGCGCTATTATTTTTGACTTTTAGTAGAACAAAAATATTTTTATGCTGTAGAACACAAACAATGCCCATGAAATTGCATTCGTATAAGCATGGAGCGACAATTCATTTAACAACGAATAATAACATAAAATTGTAGTGATATATCAACAAAAAATATCGACTTGTTTTTGTATTCATTTAAATTCCAAATTCATTGAATCCCATTTTGACATCTCCTGATTGCCTTGATATGACTTTTATTTCTACTATATGACTATATAGAAATAAAAAAATAGTAATTGCGTTCATAGATCTCCCCATGCTGTTGACAATGTGAAAAAATATGATGTAATTGTTGATGTTCTGCAATTACAATAAATCTTAATGTGACACGGCTTTGAGTTTGCAATGTCTACCCTGACGTTATTAAGGTGGTTTTGGTGATGAATTGGTTCTGAGAATATTCCTAAGATTCCTTGCCTTCATGTGGGAGGCTTTAGTTATGTGAGTATTGAGATTTAGAAACTGTAAAATAAAATAAAATACATTTAAAAATAGAATTCGTCGGAAAAGAATTTTGAAGTTGAAAATGTTCCCAGGCACGAATTATGCTATTTGAGTTCATTACAAAATACATCAGATGTATGTAGAAATCTATTATGTGTATTGCACGTTTTTTATGGACAAAAAGTATAATACAGATTGTAAATAAAAATAATGGCACTAAATAGCGATTTTTTTATTTCAAAAAATTATTTCTTCCAAAAATTAACGCAAAGTATGACTGCTTCTAGTTAAACATCAGACAGCCAATTAGCCATATCAGTTGTGTATATTCGTTTGCTGCAATGTTCTAGTTCATAAAACAGTGAAATAAACTCATTTCTTTTGTTGAGAGAGTTTATCAATTTTCTCTCGTAAGCCTTGCGATACTACCGACTTGTATTTGTCCTTCGCAGTACTTCCGAGTTTTCCACTCCAGGTCAAAAGGAGATAAGGCATTGCCACTCTGCAGCGTTACCACTTGGCAAGAAAAGAAAAATCGTAGCTAAACAAATTGAATTTCTCCGTATTTATTATTCGATATGGCTCACCATAGCCAAACCACACGAAAGCGAGTTATCACATTAGTAGAAGAGGGTCACCTCTTTGTTTCAGAGGCGGATAGTCGGTATGGCTTTGGGGCAAGAACCGCGCAATACTGGCTTAAACGTTATATAGACGTGGGAGAATCCTGGAGGAAACTAGGTACAGGGCTTTTCCGTATTTCAGATGCTGACCAAGATGGAGTTTTGACACCAGCAGCATTACATGCAATACAGCATTACATTGACATTATTATCAATTAATTCGTTTCAACAACTAAGTGTTTGAGGTTTCTGTCTATTCTTGTGAGTTGCTTCGGGCACAGCGCTTGAGAGCGCGACTGCCGAGTGGGCGGGGGCGGGGGCTAGCAGTGACGAGCTGAAGCGAGTGGGGGGCGGGGGCGGTTAAGGATCTCCGTTCTAGGGCCGTTTGATCGCAGCCGCGGCCTCCGAGCGCGCGCAAGGGCCGTGAAATCGAATTTCCCTCCGCCTTCGCCCTCTTTGCGCGAGTCAATTGTCCCCGCCCCCCCCCCAGCAGAGGAAGGGGGGAGGGGGCGGGTGCTGACGAGGGCAGCGCGGAGGGCGCCGGACGCGGCGTGGGCAGCTGCCTGCATGACGTCCTGCTGTGGGCGAAAGGGCGACTGGGGTCTCGGGGCAAAACGGGGACATTACATATTTTTACAAAAACGCACTATTCCATCGAGGCCAATATTTTTGTAAACGCAAAAAACATTACTTCTGGCAGTGTAAGTTCCACTTAAGATCGAAATAATTTTTAAAGTGTTTTTTTATTGATAATTTACTTTGTTATATGTTAAAATATTTTAGCGTCCCCACTGAAAGAAATACTGAAGTAGGGTGTGTTCACGTCAGCAGACTGAGTGTCTCTAATAGAGTAAAAGCAACGTGAAATCAGTGATCCGACTACCGCCGTGAAAGATTAATGTATCACGTTTCGAACAGCGCTCGTACTCCAAGAAAGTCATTCTCCTTGGGGAAAATACCCTAGAATGCCACAGGGAATTGTGGGAAGCTGTTTGGAACAATGCCATTCCACGCGGAACAGGCGCGAGATGCACAGGAGGCGGAACAACCAGTGATCAGCAGCGCACTTCAAGACCTGTGAGTTGGCGGAGCGATGTGGCACATGGGGTAATCGAGCATCTACTCAAACGGGGCTTCAGGACGGGTATGTAACGCCTTTGGAATGTCGAAAACTCGTATATGTTAAAATGCTTAAGAACATGAAACCAGTACTGTCATTACAAATGACTCAATACAAATGAGAAACACAATTTTGCTGTGTCTTTAAATATACTTGCGCTTAATTCATACCCTGTTTTTTAATGTCTATATTTCACATTTTCAGTCGGTGCTCGTATTCTCACAAAAAAAATGCTATGACTTGTGCTCCAACCCTCGTATACGGAGATAGGGAGTAAAAATAATTGGAGCAAAAATTGTACTTTGCCAGAAATTTCTCTGAGAACTTCGTCATATTTCGAAAAGACGATACAAAAACCGGTCCTACAATTAGGCATAATAAATGAAGAATAATGTAGATAAAAAGTGTAACTCACAAAAATCGATTCCGCGCATTAGAACAAAGAGTTTGGGATTCAACGAAAGAGCACGTGGGTCCGACGGAACATTTCTGAGAAAAGTTTGAAAATGTTGCTGAGACTACATGTAAAGCACTCAGAGGGTATCGAATCTATTTAAATAGGTCGAGGAATATGAATTTGGAGGAAAATCGACTGAACGGTTTAGGCGCAAGCGTTGCAGCGTTATCGGCGACGCGATTATAATTCATTCTCTTCTTACGAAGAAAGGGAGTGAATGTAAAAATACGTAGTACATGAGAGCTTTTCATGCTTCTTGAAATTGATGCAGCAAATTGATTTATATAAATAGATGAGGAAGAAATAATTTAGATGAATGTAGTGGCGATTGAAGCAAAAACATTAATTTTTATTCTATTTCATGTATAGTTATGCATTTATTTTTATTTCATTTTACTTATTTATTTATTATGGTATGTTTTGCAACTACATGGTTATTAGCAACCATTTAGGTACTAGTTTTTCATAAAATACAATAAATCACTCTGAAACTAATATCAATTTACTTTCACACTATTATTTAATTTGGGTGAGATTTTTTTTTTTGAAGATGCAGTATTTTCTTTCTTTGTTCCTACAGAAAATAAAGCTTGCTCTCAACTCTGTAAAAAGGGTGATAATCTTAATATTAATATTGCGTTGTTCTTTATTAATTTGGAAAAGTATGAAATATACAACACAATATTTCACATTCTTAGCTTTATTTCTACAGATTTTAATACGAACTTGTTCTATAATACGAATGTTCTCACACACACACACACACACACACACATATATATATATATATATATATATATATATATATATATATATATATATATATATATACGAATAATTTATTGTATCCTATAAAGTTATAGACATGATGTTTCAAACATCATTATACTGAAAACATGTAAGTATACGTTCTTATTACAGAGACATCTTGAGTTATAATTTTTATAATTAAAACTCTTTATCCGTTAAACGTATTATCCGTATGTGACACAGCATGCAACAAGCAAAATATCTCGAGGCTCAACGAAAATCAAACAAATCAGAGTTCGATTCTTCACAAAAAATGCATCTCTAGTGTAAGCACATCTCAAATTGGCAATGCTTATAGATTCTTTTTCACATTTCAGATAAATATCTTATTCCAGTCTAATGTGAATTCATAAAATAATTGAGCGAATGGTGCGAATTGTTATTCGTTTTCAATGCATAATCACACCTATATTTATTGTCTTCTGTATGTTGTATTTTGTTTCTTTCGGAAGAATTACGATTTATGCCAGCACTAAAGTAGTTCATGGTCGGCAACAAAAGATAGCGCTAATGTCACAGAGGCGCGAAAAGTCGACCCTTTTCTCATCAGTTGTGTCACCACGTCAAGGCTTGCAGCATGCTTTCTGCCTCTGAGTAAGTAAATATGCAGATTTACAATGCGTTGCAATGTTTTAGTTCACAATTTCGCGCAATGTTTAGAGTAACCTTTAAATAAAGCACGTTCATTAAAACCGTTGTGTGTAAATGTTGGTTGTGGTATGTAAGCTCACTCAGATTCGGAAGTTCATACTTTGTTGAACGTTTTTGTTTGTTTGCCCGGTTGTTTTTGTCTCATCGATTCGTTGGCTCAGGTAAAGTGAAATACCATTCACTGTGGTTTCAATGAAAATAACTCTCCATTTATTTGATAGAAAATTTCTCCTGGTAAAATTTCTTGAAGTGTTACTTTTAAACCGATCACGCTAATACAATATTATGAGTAAAAAGCTCAGAAAAATATACCCAAGTTATTAACCTAAAAGTTATGATGCTTTGTGTGTCTCATAATGAACACCCCAAAAGGTAGATCAACATAATGAACACATCAAAAAGTAGAATGGAAATTTTAGTTGTGAAATACGACATGAGACACGGTAGAAAAAGAACTGAGCTTAGTGGAAGGCACTGGGCAGTAAAGCAGTGAATGCATTCGATATCAGATCTTTGGTGCTGAAACAATGTGCTCTCTTACGTATTTTTATATATATATATATATATATATATATATATATATAAGTTTATTTTTATTCTAAAATTTCATAAGTATGAATTTTTTTGGTGTTTTCCTACAAGTTCAAAATTAAATATATTTTCCTTCAAATACAATTTGTTGTACATAATTAATTCTTTCTTTAAGGCCATGTAAATTGTTTTGAAAATTTTAGTAAACTTTGAGCAATATCGTGCACAATATGTGCATTTTTAATAAATTACAAAAACTAGATTTTCTCAAAAATGGCTGCAAATTTGTTCTTTAAATTTTTGGTACGGATAGTTCTAAATGTACTCTTTAAGACAAAATAAACTTCTCAAAATAAATTGCTCAGTTATTTTGTGTTTTCAAAAAATTTCAAAAATTCGAAAGTTGTATTTTTTGACTCTCTCGTGTCATTAATATTTATATTAGCGTCAATTTGTTCACATTATTGTATTTATGAGTTCATGTGCTTTAAATGATGTCATATAAAGTTTCTTTATATGAACTCAATCGTTGTCTGTAAAAACTCTGATAGCTCATATTTCCGCAATTTCAGAAGCGCTCAAATTTCATTTTCTGAAAAACTGCTCCAAATTTTTTACTTTATATGTTGAAAGGATAGGGCTAATTGCAATTTTTAATATAACGTAAAGTTAATTTTGGAGTATCTTTTTGTTTTTTCAAAAAATATTATTTTTTGAAAGATCTTTCACGCGGTATAATAAACGAAAAATTAAAAAGTTTTTAAAAATGTACTTTGGGCTGCGATAGATCGCAGCTGGCGACAGTACGTGGCAAATCTTGACTATTTAGCCAAGATCGAAGAAAATAGAATCGGAAGTCTGTGCCATTCTGTTGCATTACTAGTTTGGAGTGGTACGAGTATTCTGTAGAGAACGGAATGCAGATACCTTTGCTGTTTCGCTTCAGCTGCTATGCTTCCCGAAGCCGCCTGCTCCGACCGACGTTGCTGGCCTTCTCAAGCGAAGTTGAAGGTCGCAGTCTGCGAAATTCTCTCGATTGTTTCAAGGTTGTTTACATACTAGTATACACTGTATAAAAGTATAAGGTTGTTTTAATTGGAATCGAAACTTTTATCGCCTGCAATCTTCAAAATTTTATTTAATGCAAATAAATCATTACAATAATGCTTGTGGGGAAATGCTGAACTAGTTCCGAGGAAATGAATACAAAAAGATTAACATGAGTGAACACGACTTAAATAATTTTAGCAAGATTTATCAGTTTTCAAGAATGTAAATAGAGAATCATTATACTATCTGCTTCATCAGATTTTTTAACGATTAATGGAAATACTCTGGACTATTTCAGTTTAAAAAAAATTCCCTCATTTGTAATACCAAATTAATCTGTAACATATATCCTAAGAATTCTCTGTCCAATTATACCGTAAAAATGTTTCAACTCCAGAATGTTGTTATTTAAATTGATTTTTTTACACGCTTGATTCGGGCATAGCCGGAATTAAGCGTGGCTGATTGGAATTAATCGGGTTTTCTGTGTAGTATTCGAGGCACATATCCAGGTAGTTTTTGAAAGCGTTGGGAAGGAGACTAGTGACTGGGTCAATTTTTCTTCCCAGTCATTTTCTTTCGTAACATGAAATGTTCGCGACGTATCACTTTAGTAAAATAGCTTTTGGAAGGTTCTCGCGTGTCATTTGTGGCATTTTTTTCTGTTTCACCTTGGAAAGTTTAAATTACACCTAAATAGTGCGACGAATGTTCCATTTTCTTGTACAACCACGTGCAGAGCAAACAATTGTGTGAAACGTTTAATGGGGAAGTTTGACCCTGAACACGCGAAATACTGCAAAAGGGATTAATAAAATATAGTAGAAACATGGCTTTCTATGTTACAAGAATTGCCTCTCACTACTTTACTTACTTTAATTATTGGTTGTTTATTTGTGTCTTTCTTTTTTTCTTCTTTGTCGTTGGTTTGCTTTTGATTTGTTTCTTCAGAATGTGCTAACTACGAACTGGCTGATGAAAATGATCGTACGTTAATGAGCCTCCTTGAATATTTTTCAAAGCTGTATTTCTTTGTATCTATTTCTTCCATTGATAGAGTCCTTGTTTTGTCAATTTTTTTCGATTTACTCATTTTTTATACTTATTTGTTTTTGAATTTAAGTTATCGAAAGACTCAAAGGATCTCTCAAAAATATTCGATATATCCAAAATACCGATGCAAAAGACATTGTTTGGGTTATTTGGACCAAAGCGATGGTATGTTTTGGCAAGTGAGCTACGTGAACGATTTTGGCCAATATAATAATGATGATAATGATAAAATTAATAATAACAATATTAATAATTTGTGTCCAGCTGCAGCAAAAATGCCAATGATCAAAGCTATACAAAATGGTTTTCCAAAAAGTGTCACGCGTTCTGCTCACGAACAACAAATAAACTCTGCAATAACTCTGGAATAACTTGAATA